AAGCATAGTTTCTGCTTTAATCTTTTCCAAAACAGATTCAAACTTCAGATTCACAAAATATTTCCTTTAAAACTTAAACAGAATAGTTTTACCAAATTCCTTTAAGTTTCAAACCATCAATACTCAACAGTTTACAAAATCAATAGTAGATATAAAATCACGGTTTGTAAACAGATAGTAGTTCAAAAACTCACAGGTTATATCAAAACAGTAGTTAAACTCACCTTGTTATAACAGATTCTGTAGTAAAAGATCACACAACAAACACAGATTCTTTAAAACACCGGTTCTTTCTCAAGAACACCTTCACCGTCTTCAACTTTTCTTTCTAACAAATATCTCTTCTTTCAAAACAAGGAATGATAAGATAAGATAATATTATCTTGTCTTATCTTTCTATTTATACTCATTTCTAAGATACCAATACTTTAMTTCATCACTAAGATACCATTACTTTACTTCATCATTAAGATACCATTACTTTACTTCATCACTAAGATATCATTACTTTACTTCATCACTAAGATACCATCTTACTTCATCACTAAGATACCATCTTACTTCATCACTAAGATACCATTACTTTACTTCATCTCTAAGATACCCTTACTTTACTTCATCACTAAGATATTGTTGATCCTCTCTCTCAGTGATTTGATGATAATCTTTTTTCTCTTTCACGTTGTATTTATGTTTCTGTATTTTCAGTTCCAGTGATCATCACTGAGTATGTTCAGTGATCGATGAAGAACTTGCATTGTAAATTCATCAGAGACAACAATACTTCAAGAAGACAACACTCACACCAAAGAACCTTCAGCAAACGTCGAAGACTGAAACTGAAGATTACAGACTGGCGAGTACGTGATCTGAAGCGGTATTCAGTGATTACAAGCCTGTCTATACATATGTGAAGACTGCTCTAGCTTCAGCGAATGATGATGAGACCTCCAGGTCATTCGAGCATTCAGTGATCAAAGGAAACTTGCTTAGAACGATTGTTGTTGTTTTGTTCTTATGCACACAAAGGACAAACCCATACCCTTACAAAAGTTAGTACGGTACGGAGCCGATTAATCGACTTTTTGTCCACCAACTTTAGGTAAGGATGTCTGCTCAAGAATAGTGCTTTTGTACTATTCACTGTAGCAAAGGACAAGCCTTCCT